TGTTTAAAAGTAAAAAACTACTTTTGTAATTTCAACAAATTTGTACTCTTTAATGTACGGCTGATTTAAAATTAAGAATTTACTTTTGTATTTTCACAAAAAATCGTATAAAGAAGTATGGCTGGAATAATAATAAAAAATTAATTTGTTAAACCATATTTTGCACTCATAGATACGAATTCTCATCAAATTAGATTTAAAATTGTGAAGAATGTATATAGATGTGGACTGATTGAAAATATATGATTCCTTAAATTAAGAAATTTTTTCCGGTAAAAAAAAATATAAACTTTAAATATAGATTTTATTAGTAGTGTATACCAAAGAATATTGTTACATTTAAAATTCCTATGAAGAAGAATTCCATTAATTTTCAAATTCAACATCTCATAAAAATAATATAATACACTTTTACATTCTATGAAACAATATTTAAAACCCACCATTCAACATGCATAAAATGTAAAATTACCTAACATGATTCATTTTAACTTTCTAAAATCAGTACACAATTTGCTCGGTATGTACTAATAGTCTAATAATTAAGAGTTAATATTTGCTATGACATCTATTGGTTGGAAAGAATTCCATTTTGTATGGAATTCGAAATAAAAAAAACATATTATGAAAATCAAATCTAATTTGAGATCGATTTCTTAATAGCTTTAAATTATGCAAATATATCGTTTCAGTTTTTAGGATTCTTTTTTATGATCTCAGTCTTTGCATTATATGAAATTTATACTTATATAAAAAGCCATCCTATTTATTAGAAATAGTAGGCACAAAAGTCAAAGGTAATTAATGCTTGCTGGAAATAGAATGATATTAATTACATATTTGTTTTGGTATTTATAGGCTTGACATTAAAGATTTGTTATGGGATAAAAATCAGAACCGATTTTTTTACCTTTGCTGGAAAAGTCAAAGGTAAGTATAGATTTGTTTTATCCCATAGCATCGGTTTAGTTAAGAAAATCCCATCAAATCAGTTTTATATGTCAAGCCTATGAATAAAGATTTAATCGGTCAAAATAAAATTCTTATTTTACGTCACCCATAAATAAAGTAGATGTCAAGCCTAAATTGAAGGGTTTAGTTGTCTATATAGTCATTGATTTACGTAAATACATCTAATGTTTAAAGTTTGTGTAGATTGAAAATTCCTTCTTATCTTTTTACAAAAAATCGTATTATTATTGTATGGAAAATCAAACTCATAATGTTGTGTACAAGGAGGTCTTTAATAATATATATTGTTTGTTTGTCGAATATTATCTTATTGTACAATTTTCCTGCGTATTATTAAACTTTTATTGAATATTGCATCTTATAATATAGTATTCCTCAAATAAATATATCCCGTGTCTCGCACGGGTCACGTACTATATATATCCCGTACATTTTCTGTATACATGTATATAATTATAAGTCTGGATAAATAGCCTTAAAATTGTGCACCCCGTGCATCGCACGGGCTCTGTACTAGTTAATGACTAAAAAGAGTTACCATATACATTACAACCTCAATCCCTTGATTTCCGTTGTCTAAGACCATATTTAACTACATTAATCCCTAAAAGGCAGTTACTATATCCATTTCAACCTCAAAAAAAAAAAAAATGGGTTCATTTTTTTTTTATTTTATATTTTTTGTTTTATCTTTGATAATTCATTAAAATGGGGTTTTCAGATTTTTAATGGTATATATACAGTTTTTTTAATGGTATATATATAGCTTGTTTTAATCGTTTTTTAATGGTATATATGTCATTTTTTTTTAAACACTGCTCTTCTGAGAATATACCGAAAATATACTGAAAATATATTAACTATAAATCCTGAATAACCATACAATAACACGCTCCACCCTTAATTGTTGTGTATATTCCATTACAAATACAAAAAAAAAAGAAAAAAAAAAAACATGTATTGTAATTCACGTAGCTGTCCAGGGTAGGTATATGTTGCGTTTATGTTAGTATATATTCAGTATATGTTTAATATATGTACATAAAATATACCATCGGAAAATGCCGGTGTATGTGTTGTACATATTTCAATGATTATAGTAAATATAAAACATAATCATGGTATATATAATGAATATATAAAATATAATATCGGTATATATACTTACAATACAAACGGTAATGATGATATATGTAGTGTATATGTTTTCCATGATTTTATTAAAAATAAACCATATATATACCGAAAATATACTGAACATAAACCATACATATAACAGGGGGACGATACAAAATGATACAAATATGAGGGGGTAAAAATATACCGAAAATATACTAAATGTAAACCATACAAAACTGCAAAGTTCCAATTACAAGGGACCGATAAAATATGAGGGGATGAAAAATTAATAACATGTTTCTTGTTGTACTTGGATTGGCGCAACCGTATCAAGCACCACTGCCGGGACCGAGGGCCGCCCCCGCCGAAAGACCTATCCGTCAAGACCCACCACAAGACAGGAGCAGGGGTGAAATTCAAGATTCACGGTGTCTTTTGTCTTTTTTTTCAAACCACTGTGTCTTGTTTCCATATTTCAAGATCCGTCCAAACCACTGTGTCTTTTTTCATATTTCAATAATATGAAATTGGTGTAATTTAGCAGCTTTGATCACTGTGTCTTTTGTCTTTTTTTACTGGTGTTCCAGCACAGAGAGCAACAATACTGTTCTTACTTGGGATTTACAGGTAATAGCTCTAACCATCGTCCAAACAATGAATCTTGTTTTGCTACCTAAAAGCCACCGACCACGTCTACACAGACAAGCGAGGTGACCATGGCGCGAACGGTGAGGGCGGCGCGAGGGATGGGACTTTGGGTAGACGGTGTTTCGTCCTCTTCGTTCGTCGGTTTTTTTCGGGTAGACGATTGAACTTTGGTCATTTGAGCAATTGGTATTAGACAAATTGTAGAAGAAGGAGATGAGAGGGAGAGAGAAGAAGAAGACGATTAGAGAGAGGGGGAGAGAGATAAAAGCGTCTGATAATTATAGATCCCACTAAATCTGCTTTTACCATATTTAAAAATAATTTTATGTTGCTCATTAATCTAGTATGTTTGTAAATAAATATGATAGTTTTAGTTAATTTGCAAATAAATATATATGAGTTGTAATTATGTAATAAAAATGTTAATGTGTAGTGGATGGTGTAATTTCCTCTTTATTCAATTGGGTCCGATTAATGAGGTTGGGCTGAAATTAACACTCAGATGGGCCGAAAATGATTAACCCTCTAATTTTCGGATATAAAACACCAAAATGGATTGAAACCGATCGAAAGATAATACTCCGAGACTAAGCCGAAAAAACCAACTAGCAAAAAAAAAATTCTAACTCACCATAATAAAAATAGAATTAATCACATAACAATAAAAAAAATATAAAATCATCCATATAACAACACTATAATAATACAGATAAATCAAACAGGGCATAAACGAGCAATTTATAATAATTAATTATCAAGCATGTAGATATAAAAGCAAATAAATGATCACATAAATCTCGAAAAATTCTGATAAACGAAAGGGGCACTACAACAATAGTCCTATTGATGATCAAAATGTCCCCTCATCT